CTCCAGCTGATGTTCTTTCCATCTTTCCAGGAAGTGAAAGACTTTGCAGGAACAAGTTTTCCAGTGGTAACAGCCGTTACTGATGTAGTGTTACTTTCCATGTCACCACATCCTGCATGTCTTCAGCTGTGCAGATGTACACACAGGCTGGTGTTTACAGCTCTTTCTTCTAGGAGGAGCTTTGTTTGGAGGCCTAGAACGAATTCCAGAAGGGGCAGCGTTTATCTGCTCCATCAACTCCCGTCTTGTGCTGATGTCTTGTGTGACTAAATGACCTGGAGATCAATGCAGCTTTCAAACAGGTGTCAGCTGTAAATAGCAGCTTTTCACTGAGTAACAGCCAGCATTGTAGAGCATATCATCCTTTATAATAATAATATTTAGGTCAGGGCTGCGCGGTGGAGCAGTGGTTGGAGCTGTTGCCTTGCAGCAAGACGGTCCTGGGTTCGCTTCCTGGCCTGGGGTCTTTCTGCATGGAGTTTGCGTGTTGTCCCTGTGCATGCGTGGTACTCCGGCTTCCTCCCACAGACTGTTAGGTTGATTGGTTGTATAAAATTGTCCTTAGGTGTGTGTGTGTGTGTGTGTGTGTGTGCATGATTGTTTGTCCTGTGTGTCTCTCTGTTGTCCTGCGATGGACTGGCTCTCTGTCCAGGGTGTACCCCACCTGATTGCCCGTTGACCGCTGGAGTTAGGCACCAGCCCCCCTGCGACCCTACATGGACAAGCGGGTTCAGACAATGGATGGATGGATGGATGGATGGATGGATATTTACATCATGGCTCTGTGGCTCTTCAGTCGGACGTCTCTGCTGGGAGTAATAAAGCACACCAGAAGGTCATTTTAACTATATTGTAAACAGAAAAGATAACATCTTTTCTTTTGGATGTTGGTGCAAATCAGTTATTTTAGTTTAATTAATAAAGCTTCCGCTGTGACGACCTTAGTGGGAAAACATATAATTCAACCACAAAGAGCTGATGGGAGCATCTTTGGTTAAAGGAATGCTAGATAGTTTTTAAACTTTAAGGTAAAGCTTTAACATTGATCTCAGTGATTGTTCAGTTAAAAACTTGACCAGTTTCATATTTGACACCCCTCTGCAGCCTTCTACTGACCAAAACACACACACACACGTTTGTGGAGTGGATAGGTGTCCTAGGGGGTGCTCCTTACTTGCTTTATGGCTGTTAGCTGTATAGTGGCTAGCATTTCTGTTTGCCTATCATCAATAAAAACCACAAGAAGAAGAAAAGGAAAAAGGTTGCTTTTTCTGTTGTCATCATGGTGAAACCTGGAAGTAAAACTAAAAGAGTAATGTCTTTGGAGGCAAAGCAAAAGATAAAACCAGAGTGAAAATCGGCGCGGCCTACACTAGCTTGAGGGAGCTAAAGGAGGCTACAAAGTCATGGACTGATGGTGACCTGGCTTTGTTGCTACTGGACTTGTAAGTAATAATACTTTTTGTCCAACAGTGTGGACCTTTTTAGTTTGGTTTATTAGTATTAGTTGGCTCATGACAGAGTTAGCTCCGTTTTAGTGCTAGCCACAGCAGGGTAGTTTACAACAGTCGTAATTCAACTTTCAACCAGTAGAGTGGAGGACACTGCTCTGTGTTGCTTTAAAGTGTGAAAATGACACAACAATAACCGTCCACATGCAAAGCTTCATAAACAAAAGTGTTTCCTGTTAGTTTATTGTTTTCTGTTAAAAATGCAGAATTTCTAAAGCTAATGTGAAGAATATGCAATTTATTGAGAATTTTTTACCCAGATGTTTTTAAAGTGGAAGTCTGAAGCACACATTCTACATTTATGACACAGATTTCTTTCTTGTCAGGAAACAACATCTTAGTGTTTTATGCCTCGGAGGTTCACTCTTCCCTTTTTGCTCAATTCAACAACCCACACATCAAAGTATGACAACAGGAAGTCAAATTACTTACACATAGCATAAATCATCAGACATCATGTGTTTTATATTTTTTGTTTAATAAGCCATTAAAATTATTTGGGGGTTTCAGCAGTTTAGTTCTCATCACATTTTTTTTATTGCAGATCCATATCGCCAGAAGTAGTCTCTGTACAAAAACCAGCAGGGAATCAGGTTTCCTGTTGATTTTGTTGCTCTGCTTATTTGATAGCAGGAAGTCGTCAAGCACCACAGCACCGACACGTTCTTCATTCTCAGAATCAAAGCGAAAAACAGGGTTTTGCACATGTCCGTGATGATCATTAATAAATATGTGCAGCGCTCAGTTTACATTAAAACAAGAGAGAAGGCGGGTTTTCCCATGATGCTTTGAACTCTCGTCTCTCTGCTCAGCTGACCCCTGCCATGTGACCTTTTCTGTGGTCTCACATTAGAGGCTCTCCCACCACCTTTCCCTTCCCATGACCCCTGACCACTGGAGACTGGCTGTCAATCGAACGTGTCCATGCTGGTTGACATGAAATAATAATGTGACTGGGCTCTCCTATTCTCTGCACGACAGCTTTGTGTGTCAGAACGTCTCTTTAAGGACATCTTTATTTATAATCTCTTCACACATATTCCCAGTTCTATCAGTTATATTCGCTGTTTAGTTCAATCCATTTAATGAGAGCATATAAGCAAGTTCAAAAGAAACAATTTAATTTGTTCTTATGAATACAACACTTTGTGATTTCTATCATGCCTGTATTTTAATAGATTTCTGGCTGTAACAACAATATCTCCCTTTATTTCCTTGCATTTGTTGCAGCTTTTGAGCATGATGGTCAGATGCTATTTCAAAGGAGCCAAGAGGCTAAGCAAATGAAGAGATGAGACACTTCACAGGGAGTTACTGAGCACATGATTTCTTGTGCCCATAAAGTGTCACGAAAATCACCAAGAATTGTTTTTAGCACCCTCCAACACCAGAGGCGTGAAAGCTGAAAATATCTCTGCAGCAAGGATAGAACTCAGTGTGAGATCCAAATTTCCCGATGGTGGATTAAAATAGCTACTGGTTAAAATGTGGAGTTGTTGGAATACGTTGAACGGGTGACACGTTGTGGCACTCAGATTTCATTCAAAATGATTTTTTAATGAAGTCGACTAATTTTTTTACGTGTTAGCGTATACCACATAATTATGAACCTCACTTACAACTACATTGTTTAAAAATGGAATTCACAATATCAACTTCAGTATTATTGAGGTTCTTTTTTAAAATGTTTTTCTAATTTTTTATTCTCCCTGTGTTTTATTGATTTTTAGCTGTTAGTTTTGGGAATTTTGTTGTATTTCCTTTTTATCTTTTATCTGTGTTCGACATGATTGTATAACGCCGGTTTAATTAACAAACATTTTTAGTGTACAGCGCCTTGTTTGGTTGTAATGCCTTGTTGAATGCGCTTTATAAATAAAATTGGAATTGGAATTGGAAAGTCACAGACTGACCTAATAAGAAACGCTGTCCTCGTGGAAAGTAGACTTTGTGTTCTAATTTTAAGCCGTATGAGGCCACATAACAGAGACAGGACTGTGGTGCCACTTTTAGACCTCCGTCATCCTCTAGTCTTTGACTCCACCTGCTGTTGAACAACAACGATGCCTCCCGATCAATTTAAACTTCAAACTCATTTAATTGCATGGGTTTTTAAAAAGCCACACAGAAGCTGTAAAGCCAACTTTGAATATTTTCGACATTTAGCATCTTTTTACTATTAAATCTCTCAAAGTTGGGAATGTGAAAATACCCACAATCATTAGCTTTAAGAGGCTGACATCAGTTACAAACTCAAAAGTTTTAGGAGTTTAGGTGCACTGAAAAAAAGCATTATTTATTGATTATTTCTGATTATAATCAGTCACTGTGAGTTTTTCATACAGGTTGAGCACGAAAATAGTCTCCTACACCTATCTCCTGCATTCGCTGCTGATAGAGAATATAATGAAAGTTTAGGATTTTAAAATCCTGAGGGATCTATAAATGTCACACTGTCACTTAACATTCATGGACTCACCCATCTGGATTCCTGGCAGGGAAGGCTGTTGTTGTTTTAACATCCAGGAAACAGCAGAGGACGTCCCGACTAGCAGAAGCTAAAAGTTAGCATTGGCAACTCCACCACACAGAAAAACTCACCCAATCCTGTGTTTTTGGGGGAGATAAAACATCAGTGTTGCAACTCAGTGGTAGAGTTGCGTTGCTATTAGTAATCTGAGGCGGCATGGACGTAATTTTCACTTTAGAAGTGGGGGGGGGGGACACGGGGGGGGGGGGGGTCTTTACAGTATGCTCTAATGTGAAACAGGCTTCAACACAAAAGGTTGTTTTCTGCTTGGTCCTCGAGCTCAACCATTGTCAATTTAATATAGCATAATATTGTTTTTGGATGGTAAAAAGTGCAGGGGTCAACACTTGACTTTGGAAAAAGTGGGGGGGACATACCCCCCCCCCCCCCCCCCCCAAAAAAAAATTACGTCCATGTGAGGAGGGATGTCCAAATATCAGGGAATAAGACTCCAAATCCAGATGTCTGCTGCCACCATCTGCTCCAGGCAATTCTGGGCATTTTTTGCCCCAAGGACAGCTTGCAAGGCATTCATTCCTGCCAGAGTCTCTTTGCAAGTCCACTGCAAATGAATTGATTAAATGAGTTTCCCACACCTTTAAACATTCCTCCATCCATTTTCTATACCCGCTTATCCACGCAGGGTTGCAGGGGGCTGGGACCTATCTCTGGCTGTTTTTGGGCAAGCAGGCGGGGTACACCATCGACAGATTGCAGTCCATCACAGGGCAACATAAAGACACACAAGACGAACAACCATGCACACGCTCACACCTAAGGACAATTTTAGAGAAACCAATCAACCTGACAGTCATGTTTTTGGACTGTGGGAGGAAGCCGGAGTACTTTAATGAGAGTATATATATATAACTTAAATCATCCTTCAGGATATTCTAGAAACAGGAAGATTGCAGTACAGTTTGTAATATCTCCGGATGTTATTGAACGCATCAGGATGCGGGTCAGCTGACTATGAGCTGTCATGTGGTGTTCACGGACAAAGACATTCAGCGGAAAAGCGGGAGGATAAACAACACATGTTAACTCCGTCTAAAGGAGAGCAAATCTTTTTTGTCCTTTCCTGGTTTGTTTCACTTTTCCAGCATGGCTTGGACACGATACCAACTGTTCCTTGCGGGGTTAATGCTCACAACTGGCTCCATCAACACATTATCGGCTAAGTGAGTGAATTTATTGATGTTTTCCTTTGTGTCAGGTGTTTATAATTAGTTGTAGCTACAGTTCACGGACACACATGCAAAGCGAAAGTGGACTGAAAACGGCTGAAAGCTTTACATGCAGCGCTTAGTAAATGAATGTTAATACGTGTTTATTACGTGTTTGTTACGTTATAAAATCTGTGTTTCAGCTAGCTGCTAGCATTAGCTGGTGCGTTTTTAGACTAAACACCTGGTTGCATTTTAGTTATGAAACTTATTAACACCTGTTTTATTTAGGGCAACCTAAAGCGGAAAAATATTTACACCATACAAATAAAATTGAATTTAAGGTAAAGTTTTGGTGTATTACTGACTCTGTGCTATAAATGAAAATCATGTGAACATTTTTGAGTAAATTCGCGATTTTTCACATTCCCGATCTGTTTATTTTTGTTTCATATTATTGCCAGCAATTAATCTTATGTTATGATTAAGTATTTTGTCTTTACGAAACAGTATATTGAGTCTGGATTTCACAGTGAATGCTATTTGAACTAATCTACAGAGATGATAAATTAAAGGAAGAATAACGTAAAATAAAAGAGATAACCCATTTATAAAAGACCTCTGAGCTGCAGGTGCTGCCATTTACCGATCCCGGGTTTTAGTTAATCATTCAGCTGTCTCCCTTTAGTTTTAACCTGCTGACTCATCAACAGTTTCTATAGTGATGACACAATTCTTTATTTATTATAAGAAAAATATGTTGATGCCTGGAAATAAGTATCTTTCTAGCATTTGACTTGGTTGTTTTGTTCTGAGGTTTTTATCCTCAGACATTTACTGGTATAACTCTATGATGTGGTTTGATGTCTAGGGTGTGAGAGGAGGGGATTCAATTAAATTTGTTTTACATGAAACTAAAGAAGATAATTTACTGAGAAACTGACTGTGAAATGCTATCTTTTACATCAGGAGCTTATTTGTGTCTGACGGGTTCTTTATCAGCTAAATAGTTAAAACAGTTATTTGAATGTTAGATTTAGATGTCCTGCCATTCACTCTAAGTGGCTTTACTGAAACACAACAATAAACTTTTTTAACTTCTTCATTATTTTTGAAAAGTCAGCTCTCTCCTGTATGTCTGACTCACTTCTCTTTGCGTTTGTGGCTGTCTTGTAATAACACTCGCATTAACTAAAAATCTCAGTGCGTGTGTGTGCTAATGTGTCAGAAAAGCGTGCTGCGTCATGTTGCTGAAACAGTATTGTTTGCAACAAGCAGGTGAAGTTTCACTGCAGTCACATGATGTGTCACCTGCTGCAGAGCCTCCTCATATCAGTTTTCAGTGCTGCTTTCATATTTTCCTTTCCAGCATTTTGGTGCAGATTTAAGATATTGATTCAAAAGCACTCAGACCCTCTTGTGCTTTCCTCTGTTACTTGATGAGCTCAGACTTGACTGACATGAAGACAGGAACCTCACATGATGTCAGTCATGCTTCCTTTTGACCGTCGAGGCTATGTTCTGCAGACACAAGCACTCTGACCACACAAGTAAAATGCAACATCATCATCCTTCAGCCTGACTGGGCTGGTCTCGTGTGAAGGAGCAGTGAAGAGCTTTTAAAATGGAGGAGCAGAAATCATCTACATGACACATTTATAACTATTTATGCACACGTTTTCTGTTCAAATGTCCAAAACATCACAAAATATCAGTATGTTGTTTATTTTTTTTGCATTTCTTAAGCTGAAATGAGGTGGTCACTAACATTTCTTGTTTGAAATTTAGATTATTAAGTTGATTTTTTGTGTCTTTGTGTCACAGATGGGCTGATATGTTCTCAGCTAAGGGCTGCCATGATGGGCCTGAACACGACTTCTCACATCCATTTGTACAGGTACAGTAAGAAACTCTGGACAAAGAACTAAAAGTTAGAATGACTTTTTTTGTTGTTCTTTTTTGTCGAGCGGGACAAAGGAAAAGGGAGCATGTCATTTCTGTCGAATTAAGCTACTCCTGCACATGTTTAGGGCCCTGCAGGGCAATGCCCTCACATATCTAGCTGCATTGTCGTACACAGGCATTTCCATCTCGCTCTCTTTGCTCTGCTGAGCTAGAGTTCATGGTTGTCCAACTGTTCAAACTGAAGTCGCGAGGAGATGGAGCCTTTTCAGTATTGGCTCCGCAGGGTGGCTAGGCTCTCCCTTAGAGATAGGGTGAGAAGTTTGGTCATCTGGAAGGAGCTCGGTGTAGACCTGCTGCTCCTCCACATTGAGAAGAGCCAGTTGAGGTGGCTCGGGCATCTGGTTAGGATGCCTCCTGGACGCCTCCCTGGTGAGGTTTTCCGGGCACTTCCAACCAGGAGAAGACCTACGCTGGAGGGACCACGTCTCTTGGTTGGTCAGGGAACGCCTTGGGATGCTTTGGCTGGTGCCCCCGCGACCCGACCCCAGATCAGAGGCCGAAAGTGATGGATGGGCATTTGACATACCTGACAAGCTCAGTAAACACAAAACCAATGACATTAGAGGCTGCCTGCTCCAAATACAGAACACATTTTGTGTAATTAAATGAAAAGAAACAAATTTAACCTGGTTACAAAGACATACAAGTCATTCGATGGTTATAACCTGACATGTGGAGCAGATACTTAACTTTTTTATTCTGTCATCAGACTTTGGCTCTGACAAGCTCTCTTTATGGCTGTTAACCATTGTTTCAGTGTGTTTTCTCAGTTATATTTAATGTTACTGTCCTTATTTTGTCTGTTTGTGCAGCCTACAGTGCTACATGTGTTAACCATGGTGATAGTTTTTATTTTGCTGCTATCTAGCCATGTTTATTAACAACTGACAGATACGGGCAGGCGCTGTCCTGGTCTGCGTCTGCGTCTCTCCTCATGTGTTCCCTTGTGTTCTCGATCCCTCTCTAGGTTCTCCTTTTGTATCTCCTAGCGCCCTTATGTGTCCTTTGTCTTCGTCTCATTTATGTGTCTTTGTGTTCTTCATGTGTCTCCTGTTTGCAGCCCTCCAGATCATTCCTCCCAGGTCCTGTGTTCCTTCAGTCATCCCCAGCCCCTCCAGGTGTCTCTTCACTTTCTGTGTCCTTGTAGCTCCAGCCCTTTTTGTCCCCAGCTCCCTCCTGGTTTTCTTCATGTCTCTTAGTCTCCCCGCCATAGTTTCTATAGGTCTTTTATTTCAGTTGTGTGTGTGTGTGTGTGCGTGTGTGTGTGCGTGTGTGTGTGTGTCTCCTTCCCCCGGTGTGTGTGTGTCTGTGTGTGTGTGTGTGTGTGTGTGTGTGTGTGTGTGTGTGTGTGTGTGTGTGTGTGTGTGTGTGTGTGTGTGTGTGTGTGTGTGTGTGTGTGTGTGTGTGTGTGTCCTTCCCCAGTCAGGTCTGGTGTCCTCCCCTGCTCCTTTCTGCTCCTCCTCTCGGTTATTGTTTTCACCTGTTCCCCACACACCTGCTCCTCGTCTCCTATCACTCCAACCCCAGTGTATAAAACCCTGTCCTTGTCTCGGTGTTGTGTCGGTCCATTGTGCTTCTGTCATACTCTTCTCGTGTGTTCTCTAGTGTTTCTAGTGCTTCCAGTGTCTCCTGAGTTTTCTAGTGTTTTTGGATCTCCATTTCAGCTTTGCAGTCATCTAAGGCCAGAGTTGTGCCGCCTGACCAAGAGGCCCCTGCTCTGCAGCCCAAGCCAGAACTCATACAGTCATCCAAGGCCAGAGTTGTGCCGCCTAACCAAGAGGCCCCTGCTCTGCAGCCCAAGCCAAGACTCATGAATCCGTCTGAGGCCAGAGTTGAGCCGCCTAACCAAGAGGCCCCTGCTCTGCGACCCACGTCTGAGCTCCATCTGCCATCTCCGTACCCCGTTCCGGCGATGGATCCAGAAGTCGCTCCGCCCAGTCCGGTCCAGCCCATCCAAGAGGTTCCGGTCCAGCCCGTCCAAGAGGCTCCGGTCTAGCCCGTCCACGAGGCTCCGATCCAGCCCGTCCAAGAGGCTCCGCCCAAGCCTGTCCACGAGGTTCCGGTCCAGCCTTTCTACAAGGCTCCGCCCAGTCCGACGCCTCCAGTCCAAGGGTCAACGCCTCCAGTCCAAGGGTCAACGCCTCCAAACCAAGGGTCGACGCCTCCAAACCAAGGGTCGACGCCTCCAGTCCAAGGGTCAACGCCTCCAGTCCAAGGGTTGATGCCTCCAGTCCAAGGGTCGATGCCTCCAGTCCAAGGGTCGACGCCTCCATTCCAAGGGTCGACGCCTCCAGTTCAAGGGTCGATGCCTCCAGAGTCTACGTTCCAGCCTGCAGTAGTCACCTGCAGTGTCTTCGTCTCCCGAGCCGCCTCCTGTAGTGTCTTCGTCTCCTGAGCCGCCACCTGCAGAGTCTACGTCTCCAGTGTCCCTATCTCCAGTGCCCTGAGTCCCCGTCTCCAGTGTCCTGAGTCCCCACAAGAGTCTACGTCCCCATCTCCAATGTCCCCAGTGTCCCCACAAGAGTCTACGTCCCGCCTCCAGTGTCCCCACAAGAGTCAACGTCCCCGTCTCCAGTGTCCCCAGTGTCCCCACAAGAGTCTACGTCCCTATCTCCATTGTCTCCAGTGTCCCCACAAGAGTCTACATCCCTGTCTCCAGAGTCTACGTTCCTGTCTCCAGTGTTTCATGTGTTCCAGTCTCAAGAGTCCCATGTGTCCCAGTCTCCTGAGCCCCCAGAGTCCCATGTGTCCCAGTCTCCTGAGTCCCCAGAGTCCCATGTGTCCCAGTCTCCTGAGTCCCCAGAGTCCCATGTGTCCCCGTTACCTGAGTCCTTTCCTCGTCCTCCTCCTCCAAGGTCCCTTCCTCATCCTCTTCCTCCAAGGTCCCTTCCTCGTCCGCTTCCTCCAAGGTCCCTTCCTCGTCCTCTTCCTCCGGCATTCCCAAGCCCTAGACTTCCCTGTTCCCAACTCCTGTCTCCCTGTCGCCGGACCCCCTGAGTTCCCTGTGTCCGGCTCCTGTCTCCCCATCGCCGGCCCCCCAGAGTTCCCTGTGCCCGGCTCCTGTCTCCCCATCGCCGGCCCCCCAGAGTCTCCTGCTTTCCCTGGTTCCCAGTCGCCGGCCTCCCTGGGTCTCCTGTTCCCTCCTTGCCCGCCCTTTTGGGCTGTTTTTGTTTGGTCCCCCCTCTCCCTTCCTCTGGTGTCTCGTGTCCTGTTTTGTCTTGTCTTTTGCTTGTTATGTTTTGTTCGTGTTTTGGCATCTGGTATCCACCCCTTGGGGGGGGGGGGGGGGGGGGGGGGGGGGTACTGTCATGGTCTGTGTCTGTGTCTCCCAGACGGATCTGCTGGTGCTGGCGGTGGGATCTTGGATGTGTGACATCACCGACGTGATGTCTGCCCTTTACTATTTTATTTGTGTTATTGGTGTGATGTTCAGCACTTTGGGGTGTTTCTAAAGTTTGTAGGAAGTCGTATAAATTAAATTGGATTGAGTGATTAGAGTTAGTATCTTCCTCCAACCGTCCTGCTCTGAGTCTCTTTGCTCTGGTTTGCTGTCCAGGCTGTGGGGATGTTCCTTGGTGAGTTCAGCTGCCTTGTGGTCTTCTACATCTTGCTTCATTATGACAGACGGAGACCAGAACCCCAGATGAACCCGGGCCAGAGCTTCAACCCTCTCCTGTTCTTCCCTCCTGCAATGTGCGACATGTTGGCCACTTCCATCATGTATGTTGGTAAGTGACCAGAGCCCTAGAGCGTCAGGTTATGGACACAAGCATTTCACTTCTAAACACTTAAAGCTTTAATTAAACTCCAGGATGTTCTAATCTGAAAAATCACCCTCCAACATTCCAGCCCTCAACATGACGAGCGCCTCCAGCTTCCAGATGCTTCGCGGAGCCGTCATCATCTTCACCGGTCTTCTTTCTGTGGCTTTTCTGGGGCGCCGGTTATCGCCCAGCCAGTGGGTGGGCATATTCATCACCATCCTGGGTCTGGTGATTGTGGGACTCGCTGACTTCCTAAACGGCCACAAAGACGACTCTCACAGGCTCAGTGACATCATCACCGGTGGGAGAAGTTCATCTTTTGCTTTAGAATAAACTTCCAAACGGCAGAGAGCCATCTGTAGTCTGAGATTACAATAATGACTCTGTTCTGCTGTGCAGGTGACCTCCTGATCATCATGGCTCAGATCATCGCTTCAGTGCAGATGGTTCTGGAGGAAAAGTTTGTCTACAAACACGACGTCCATCCTCTGCGGGCGGTTGGAACTGAAGGTGCGTCTGCAGCTCCTTTGATGGCGAGCGACTTTGTGACTCGTAAACAGCAAAATAAACATTCTGAACATACAGTGTTAAAGGAATTCAATGATGAGGACTGCAAAGGTCTATGTTAAAGGCATTACTGACCTCTATCACCTGTTTGACCTTTTGTTTATCGTTGCACAATGTTGAAACTTTCCATAAGACTGCAAAATAAAAGCAGTAAATTATAGATTTATCAAAGGTCATTATTTAGATAGTTTTTGAAGCTTTATTTGATGAGTTCTGCAAGCAGCCTGACTTTTAAGGTCAGCATCGCAGAGCATTTTAGCTCTTGATTTGGTTTCTTTCTGTTTTGCAGGCTGCGGGTTATCTGATGTGGTCGCTCATTTATCTAATTCTCACTTGTTTCAGGTCTGATCAAGATAAAAGCATTTACTGCAGATGAAGTGTGCAGCAAACAGGTTATTGTGGTGTGACTGGCTTAGAAGACAAATATTTCCACCCCCGGTGGATAGAAGTCAAATAGAAAGTGAGAGATTTTCAGCAAACACATGATAAAGGTGTCCTGTAGCAGCGTGTAAACATGCTGTTTGCAGCTTTATCAGGTCAGAACAAATCAGTTAGAGCTGCTTCACAAACTGATCTGAGTGTTCACACAGCTGCTTGAGAAGCCGCTGATAAAAGGTTTATCATCACTGATCATCTGATTTCTAAATCCGACTCTTTTCTATTGCAGGATTGTTTGGTTTCATTGTCCTGACGCTCCTCCTCTTCCCCATGTACTTCATCTACGTCGGTAACTTCAGCAACAACCCCCGCCACGTCCTGGAGGACGCCTTGGACGCCTTCTGTCAGATCGGATACAAGCCGCTCATTCTGCTCGCCCTGCTGGGAAACACGGTCAGCATCGCCTTCTTCAACTTCGCCGGGATCAGCGTCACCAAGGAGATCAGCGCCACCACCCGCATGGTGCTGGATAGCCTGCGGACGCTGGTCATCTGGGTGGTGAGCCTGGCTCTGGGTTGGGAGGAGTTCCAAGGCCTGCAGGTTCTGGGGTTCTTGGTCCTGCTGCTCGGGACAGCGCTCTACAACGGGCTGCATCGCCCCCTGCTGGCCAGGATACCGTGGTGCGCTCAGAGGATGGACTTGGAGGAGGAGAGCAGCTCAGGAGAGAGAGATAGGCTGCTGGCCAGTGAAGACACATAAAACTCAAATCACAGTGAAAGTTCACTTTTTTAGGATGTTTTACTCGTCTTTTATTCATTTTTTTTTTGTTTACCTCAGATTCGAATTAATCCAAGTTAAAGTGAAACAGCACTTGTTTTCCTTCTTGCAGCAAGTTAAATGAGATCACTTCTAACATGTTTACTCAACAAATTAGCCAGCTTGAAAACTTTCATTTTAATGCAGAAACTCCCCAATGATGTAAAGAATTTACTAAATTCAAACTGAAAGATTGCTCAGGAGTTTTGTTGATTGTGCAGGGTACTTCCACACTAAGGCTAGCACTTCTTCATATTTCATCCAAAACGTTTATATAAAAGTCAAAGTAAATGTGCACAACTCTGCCAGGGTGCCTCGTTACTAGTTTTTGGGAAGTTTTTCATCTAACATTCTGCAAGAGAGGAAATTCCAAATCTCTAAATGTCAAAACATTAACCAGAAAAACGAGCAGGCAGAAGACGAAACTCCTCCATAAGAGTAGAACGTTTTCTTAATGGAGACTTTTAATCTAAAATACTGTAAAAAACTAAAAAGTTATCAATCATTCAGATATTAAAGTGATTATTAAGTTTCGGTTTTGTTTTAATAACAAAACTTTAGCAGGTTGTTTTGAAATTTATGCTCAAAAAAGTGCACATTTTTGCATAGCTATTTTAAATAAAAATAGGATTTTTTTTCTCATTCAGTTGAAGCCTTCATTTTGTTCATGAAGTAGTTTCTTTATCTTTTTTTTTTACTCCTAATGATTGTGCCAATTTTATGTTTCCTTAAAGAGAGAACTCACACTTTTTTGGCATTACCCGTTTTTAAGAGTTTTTTCCATTTTTTTCTTATATGTATTAAGATGCTGGATGTAATTTAATTACAGACATGAAAAAAACTTTGACATGTAGTTTTAGGACTTTTATAAGGAGATCAGATCTTGTTAACCCTCTCAGGCTCAAAATAAGTTTTGATAAAAGGACGAACTACAAAGTCCTTCAGGGGTACTTCTGAGTTGAAAAATGCTCATGAAAAACGTATGTGGAGTAACCAGGTAGGTAGGTTTTAACTGTTGCAAATCTGCAACGCCTGCCTCCAGAGGGTTAAATGATTTACAAAAGAAAGTAATGCTCCTACTATATTAAATAAGGTATTAGATGCCATATATAAACTAAAGGGAGCTTTTAAGTCACACGTTTTTGTTGCAATTCGAACTTTTCCTCAGGTGTGTGCAGGAAAAAACGTGTTTATTAAATTAAATGATAATAAAGGAAAATGTCACATTTGGCAGGTTTGCTGTTTGTCTCTTTTCTTTCCTGGACAAGGGAACCGTTTTATAGAGCAATAAATCCTTATAATAAATATTTTTACAGTTTTTGTCGATTGCTAAAACACGTTTTTCAAAACTGTACGTTTCTTTCAAAACTGCACACACAAAACCCCAAACATAACACACAAATTCCTAAACCGTGGCTTCCCTTTGCAACAAAATCCTGCCACCACATATCGTAACATGTTCCCAAAATGGAACACATGTTTTCATTTGGTAAACACAGCCACATTTTCACATGACACACACACACCATTCATTGCTTAAACACAAGTAGCCTTTGGGTGAACACTACCAAGCATGGAAAGAACACTGAAGAGCAAAACTGAAAACACAATTGTCGAAATGGAACACAATGAATTACACACTGAATGTATGACAGTGCTCAGTTTTCTCTGAGACAAACATTAGACATCACACAAATTTTGAGACAAAACATTTTATTTTTACAGTAAAACCCCCCACCCCCCACCCCCTCTCCCATTCAAGCATAATCATGGGGCATCATGCCTCCGGTCTCTGTCTGGCCCAGAGGGCCTCATCAACATCCTCCTGGTCCAAACAGCGCTGGAAGTACCGCCTCGAGTGCCTCATGAAGCCCCGACAGGCCTCAAAGGCCACATCTCTACAAGCCTCCTCCATGGCTTGAAGCAGTGGGACCTTGCTCTGTGGATTCCTTTCGTACACCTTCCACCTCCAGGCTGAGAAAGACTCCTCAGTGGGATTGAGGAAGGGGGAATAAGGTGGAAGGTATAAAATGGAAAACCGTGGGTGGACCTGAAACCACCCATACACCTGGGTAGCCTTGTGGAAACTTACTTTTATGCTGCAGTCCCTGATTGCAAACTGCTCGCCAGACCCGAAAGTTTAGAGATTTGAATAATTGTGTGTTGTTGATTGAAGCTTTGAGAATTTATGTGAGAAGTGTGTGTAAACCTGAAAATTGTGTGCTGTGTTTTGACAGCAAGGTAATGTGAAATTGACATCAGAGTGTAAAGGAGGAAAATCAGAGTTCTAATATGATAAGGAAATCTTAAGTAGTGATAAACTGAGTCGAGCAATTGGGAACAGAAGTAGAGGTTGTGAAAATTGTGCCTCATTTTTGCTTTTTGAGTTTTAGCAATCGAAAAAAACTGTAAAAGTGTGATTTTTGAACCATGTGAGTCAGAAACATAATATCCTTTAGTAAAAATCATGTTTTAATCTTTCAGAAAACTATTTTATTGAGAGAAATTTCCACTAAACTGATGAAGAACATGTGAGTGAAAGTGTGTGATGTCATGAGCAGCTGACACCTGCGCTCACTTCCTGAAGCTAACCTCCCCCAGACCCCAACTGAGCCTTAACGGAGGTCAAAGGTTAAACCAGCGTCCCCTAGAGATCTGTACATGTCACCATGTTAGTTAATGGAGCGGGTCAAAGCAGCATTTGTTAACTGACCACACACACCTCGATTCAGCAACTAAATATGGACAAAATTTCATCTCATTACAGCCGTTTCAGTTTTAATCTGTAGGCAAGTGTAAACAATCCCAGCTTGTCAGAGCTCTTCAATATTCTGTTTACTGGGATCATTTGACACTAAAATCCAAATTTACATAATTGTATTTGTTCTTAATGGATTTTCAAGTGACTACAGCATTTCTTACATGAATGCAAATGACTGGACAGAATGATGTCATTTTTAGGCGATGGTAGAGATGATGTAATCTAAATCTGGACACATTTATGATATTATAGGACACATTTAAAAGCGCTGATTTTGCAGCCATTGTACTTTTTACAGGTTAGCGGTCGAGTTGAAGCAGATTGAAGGATTGATATTTGAGAGCAAAAGTTCACTTTTCTCCTCTAAAATGGATTTATTCACCTTTTTAGCCTGTTTGAGCAAATAAAGAAGAACAGATCATTGCTTGTTTAGCAGCATTTGTGGTGGAAAAAACATCTGAAATGACTGAAAATGTCAAGTATCAGATTTCTCTGTCTGCTTGATTAAAGTGAAGTAAAACTCAGGTCCTGGATCAGTTCAAACTGAAGTTCACTCAGCTACCAGGGTGAGTATGTCTGAGTTTGGTCCCTGAGAAAACAAGTCAGTTTGCATAAGATCTAAATCAGTAATGCAAAAAAAATAAAAATAACAATAAATATGTCATTTAATATCCTGTATTTGTATAGCGCCTTCCTCGAGTTCTACAACCCCCCAAGGCTCTTCACAACACAATCAGTCATCCACCCATTCACACACACATTCACACGTTGGTGGGGACGGTGTAGCCACAGCTGCCCTGGGGCGCGCTGAGAGGCGAGGCCTGTCAAACACTGGCGCTACCGGTCCCTCCAACCACCACCAGCAGGCAAGGCAGGTTAAGTGTCTTGCCCAAGGACACAACAGCAGCATTCTCCGGTTGGAGCCGGGATCGAACCTGCAACCTTCCTATTACCAGACAACCCCCTCTATGTCCTGAGCTACTGCTGTATGAATCTTCAAGAGTCACATAAAATAATGTGAATCATTAAATAAAGAAATCATTAAAATTTCCATTAAATAAATGAATCATTAAACATTAAATTACACAAAACTTTTTTAGATCTCTTGGCTAAATCAAACCTCACCAAGTCTGTAGTTTACGATCTGACCTCTAGATGGCAGCACAAGAACATCTGCGTTAAACCTGCTGTTTCGTCTGCCACTTTGATGGAGACCCCCCCCCCAACACAGCATAATGTAGATTATATAGATATTATAATACGCTTATTCGAAATGTTTTCAAACCAAAAATCCTAATTTCATCAGGATATAGCCTCTCAATTTAAAATACATTTCTGTTTTTAAAATAATATTTTAAAAGGTCAATAATGACGCTCCAGGGACTGCAGAGGGGGATTATTCCAGAAGCTGTCATGATTCCTCTAGACAAACGCTGTAAACCTCCACAGCTAGCATTAAAAAGAATAAATCAATCATATTTAGCTTATAGTTGTTTTTGTTCCTCGTGGTAACTTTTAGCATTTTAATTCCCTTATTTGAGTTTATCATTCCTTAACTGTTGAAAACCCATTAGTAATTCAGTTTTTGCTCCTCAGCTGATGAGTCACAATTTTCCAGCTGCTCAGGTTCAGATTCTCATGCAACTGCATTTGCTTCAGATCTGCAAGCCCACAGATGCACAATGATGCCCTTTAATCTAGCCTTTTCTCTGTCATCTCTGATATGACTTTAAAAAATCTTAAATGTTGCCGTCTCTTCCTAAAAGAATAATTAAAGGGTTATAATTGGATGCATGAATAGTTTTATTGTTCGCTTTTTCTTTTTATGTTTTACATCAAACGCTGCAGAAATCCCTGAACCTCTGAGGCCACTTTTATAAACAGCTGCTTTGCTCAGAGGTTCTGAGGCACCATGGCATCCCTTTGGTTTCTGACCTGTTGATGCTTTCAGGTCTAACAGAGAAGCAGAGTCAAATCCTGCTGCAACAATAGGAAATAACATGTAAATAATAATAATAATAATAATAATAATAATATGTATTGTTTGAGCTGCTGTTATTCAAAAATGCTTTTTAGCACATAAAAAGCATGTTAGGCGCATCGGGTGTTATGATTTCACCAAAAATCACTCAATAATTTTTTTTCAGTTATGAAGTAATCTAGAATGATTATATAGAATTTAACTTTTATAGAATTAAACAGCTTATGAATGAAAATATTTAAATTCCTGAAATGTTGCTGTAAAACTAGTCTTCTAAAGCAGAAGCTACTTTTACAACACTGATGCAAATCTGGCAAGAAAACTATAATCTGTAATCAACTATTTAGCTTTATGTAACAAAATTAGGATGGATTGATCTGTTTTATACAAAAAAAACAGGTATTAATCAACAAATTGCATTTACGAGCAAAGTGTGAGTCTCTTGGTTTGACCTTAAAAAACAAAGGTTTCCTTTTATTGCATTTTAAAATTGTTTTTATTATTTTGTGGCAGCTGAGGTCATAATTGCATGTGATAATCATGCTAATGTAGTAAAAATGTAAGAATAAATATTTCTGCTAACAGAGAGAGTTTAGTCACTGGGGGGAGCTGCTTGTTCACTAACAACCTTCACACGCTCATCAGTCTTTTACCTGAATAATTTAGACCATTTCTTCCCTTAATTTGCTTCCAAACCATTTTATTTGTTTGTTTTATTAATTTTCTCAAACTAATTCAAAAGAATATGCAAATCCTGTAACATACATGTCAGGTTATTTATTATGTAACGAGCATCTTTATTCTAACTACAGAGCGTTTGTTCCCTGCTGAAGGACCCAAGTGTGTTCAGGTCAATCTGAAACATTCCAGGACAAGCTGATGGAAGCAGGTATGGCCTGAAACCCTGGATGTGCTCGTGGTCACATAAACGAGGTCTCAGGCCTTCTCTCCCTCCCCTCTGTGGAAATGATGGCAGCGTGCCATACAGAAGGCTGTGTACAATGGCCCAGGTCCCATTAAATCTGCGAAAGTTCCTTCCTGAGGTAAACATTGCCAGAAATAGTAATCCTGGCCTGAACTGGGGGGTTAAACAAGAGGGGAGCAATAATTCTCAGTGTGATAATGGAAATGGTTTCATTTTGCCCAGCAATGTGTGAGCGGACCGAGGTGTACTCATTCAGTTTTCTCTGTGTCTGATAAGACTTCCTGAAAAACACACAGGGAGCAATCAGGCCACAACAATGGAGGCTTTAAACTTCAGGTGGTCAGCAGTGCACAGTAGCACGACTTTGTTTCCACGTGACTCATAAAAGCCTCAGCATTGTGTTTTCATGTTGTTTGGTCAGAATAGACCCAGAGTGAAGGCCGACAAGCCCGTCAGGCAGGATTTGTGGAGGATTTGTTGGTTTTTAGAACTTTTTCAACAAAGAATGACTTAGATGTATCTTTGGAAAGTTAGGTTGTAGTATTTCAAACTTCAAAGCCATTCAAATGTTTAATCTGTGCAAAAGTCTTAGATTTCAAACAGGAATATCAAGGAAGCATCAGGCAGTGGTGGAAGAAGTACTTGATTTTGCTTTTACATAAGTAAAAGTACAGATACAGGAGTAATTAAATAACAGTAATACTTTACAATAAGTGTCCCTTTGTTAACGTGTACTCAGTGTATTTTTAAGCATTAATTTAACGTAGGGTCCCTTTATTAAAATCATTTAGTGCATTATTAAGCATTAATAAACAAAGAGTCTCTTTATTAACATTATTCAGTGCATTACTAAGCATTAACAAACAAAAAGTCCATTTATTAAAGTTACTTAGTATGTTATTAAGCAATAACAAACCTCTTATTAATGTTCCCAATATCGTTATGGTTAAGCAGTATACTTTATTAAATAGTTTATTAATGCTTAACAATGCACTAAGTAACATTAATAAAGGGGGCCTCATTGTAAATTGTTACCAAAGTTACTCACGTAAAAGTGAAAGTATCCATAAATATTTTACTTAAGTAAAATTATTAAAGTATGCATTTTCAAGTGTCCTGGTAAAAAGTAAAAGTGTTCAACTAATAATTAAATTTTATGTGTGTAGAAGTATGCTATTGGACCAGCAGGTGAGGGCGAAACTCAAATGAAAGTATTAATTCATTTAGAAAATGTAGTGGAGTAAAACAATAAAGTACTCAAAGTACAAATGCAGAAAATTTGTACTTAAGTATAGTAATGAAGTACTTTGTTACATTGCATTACTAACTGTAACTTTATATCAGGTTTCAGGCCTCAAAAGGTCAAAAGATGCTGACCTGATGGCTTAAAGGCATGAATAATTCCCTTTAATCTCTATATTTACAGATATTTTACAGTTTTAAATGCCATAATCTCATGAGACATAAAAATGTTTATATACATTAAGTTATATAATAGCTTGATTTTAAATGCCATAAACTAACATATCCAAGAACATGGTGGGTGGTATTAAATGCCTGGCATTCATTAAAGCATGCATTCCACCCTTTGTGCGTGAGTTTTAAACCAAGATCATCATAAAAAGGAAATGTGCACAAACTAACACACCGATGCTAAATCTTGCACCAATCTGGTGATCACTTTCACTGAAGTAAAGCTGCATGCGTTGACAAATAGAACAGGTGAAGTAGCCTAACCAGTGACAGCCTTTAATGGTTCCAGTTAGTCTTTTAATCAGAGTCACTGGAGCTGAGGGTGTCACCCTTCTGCCATCATCACTCATGCGGCTCCAGGACGTCAGACGGGAACGTCACAATGATGAACAGCAGGGAGTATTTCAGACTCGGAGGCAGATGCGTGAAATAAATGTGTCTTTTTGTGAACATGTGAGATTTTAAGTATCCAATCCTGCAGGAAAGTCGGGACTGTTTTCTGCACAAACGCACGTTCCAGCAGCAGAAAGCTGATCTGAGGCCCGATTTCCCACCGAGGAGCTCATCAGCACCTGAAATAACTCGAGGCGCGCTGCAGCGGCGGCCACATCCTCTTCCCTGGATTGTTTTGACTGCGTGATGGAGGGCAAACGTTAAGTGTCATTTTCTAATTTTAACCCGGAAACGTGTCACTCGAAAACACTATGATAGCAGGCAGTCAGGGTCGTCGGTGCTTCCGGCCGCATGAATCAAGACTAAATGAATGCGGGGGCCTTCAGAAGCCCATTGTTCCAACAACATGCGGGAGAAAACGTGCGGTCTGGAGGAGCAGACCCGACAGAAGCAGTTAACGTGTTTTAGTGTAATTTTAGACACGATCAAAGTCTATGTGCGCCAAAAAGAGTCTATTGTATCCAAATCCCATTTCTAGAAATCATTATTGGCCAGAACCCATCTTAAGGAACCTTGCGGGTGAAGTATCGCCTCTGAAGTTAATTGTGTTTTTGCGCAGAAGGAGGAGGAGGGGGAGGGTCGTTTCCTCTGTTTATTATGAGCATGGGGACGGATTTGCGTCACCGTGCAACTTGCAGGTTGAGATAAAGTAGCGCAAATATTGAACAAGGGAAGTTCTAGCACTCATTATAAAGTTTTCCTCCCTTCTCCTCCGGAAGAAATAAGGATTTCTGCTGTATCCTAAAATACTAAAGCAGGTTCTATTTTGGGGCGCAAATTTAGCAAGCGCATCCGCTCATTTAGCGCGAATCACAGCCCATCAAAAACAGGATGAGATGGAGCTAATAGAGCCTCCCTTGGGCCCCGGCTTGTTTATTATTAATTATGCGTTATTATACTTACATAGCTTTACAGTTTCTGTTGTTTTAAGGTGTCAAAATCCAAATTTGATCAGTTTAATCAAAGAGATATCCAAACACGATCGTGCGTAAAGATGTGCGTAAATGTGAGAGCCGGTCGGGGGGGGGGGGGGGGGGGGGCGCTCCCATTTAAGAGATCAATCCATCATCTCAAGATCAAAATTGTGTGTGTGTGTGTGTGTGTGTGTGTGTGTGTGTGTGTGTGTGTGTGTGTGTGTGTGTGTGTGTGTGTGTGTGTGTGTGTGTGTGTGTGCGTGTGTGCGTGTGTGTGTGTGTGTGTGTGTGTGTGTGTGTGTGTTCCTAATTTGCTAGTGCGTGCTGTTAGCAGACGCAGCGCACCCCCATTGGCTCAGGAAGCGACCAATCAGTGTCAGCGGAGGAACTTCAGAGTGGAACTGCGTTGTTGGAGTTTCAGAGCTGCGAGAGCAATTTTGGCGTTTCCAGCCAAAGGACGGGCTTCTGAAACTCCGATCGCGTTTCTTTTTTCTTAAAAAAATAAAATACATGTTTGTGTTTTTATACGGTTAGCTGAGAAACAGCCGCTAGAAGCTCCGGGATGTACACGACCGGGCTCAACCCGTTTTACGCATCAAACTTCAGCCTCTGGTCCGCGTACTGTGCCGGAGGCTTCACGGTGGACTCGGTGAAGAAACCGTCGTTTTGCATCGCAGACATCTTGCAGGCTGGAGATGCGGAGAACATCCAGGGATCGTCCGCCCTCATGGTGCACATGGGACACCACCATCACCATCACCACCGGGCACAACAAGCGCATCCCGGCACCTCGCCGCTGCGCCCTTCTCCCGTCGCGCCGGAGACCTCTGTGTTCGGTGCCAGAGTGAATCCAGCTTCCCCGTACCACAGACACGGACTACAGCTCACATCCGTCTCCAGGACGTCTTTTAGCTCCCAACAAGCACCACCGCCCTCCAGCAACGACCTCAAATTTGGAATTGATCGGATTTTATCCACAGACTTTGATTCAAAATGCAAAGAAAAGTCCACTTTAAGAGGTGAGAGAGACCTTTTAAATGTGTAAAAAAAGTGTTTTTCTAGACACACAAAGAATAATGAATATGAATATTTTAGGATTTCATGAAGCAAGAGTTTTAGAAACTGAAACCAGAAATAGTTTTGCACATGTGCAGTCACTTACCTGCTTCATAGCACTGATAGGCTTGTTCACTAAGTGGTTAGTGCGTAAATACCCTCAGAATGAGGAGTCCTGTGTTGACATCCTCCTACTTTCCCCCTTAACAAGAGGTCAAAGGTCAGGATCAGCAGCTGCAGATGCACTTTAGGTCAAAATCACACATTTAGACCTAAGATCACTGCCCTCTTTGCTGCTCTGTGTCCTAACTGAATGAAGGCCATCATCTCTCGCTCTGTAACAGATCTCACTTCCATCGTTAGCTCAAACCGTCAGTCAGGCATCCACATCCCCGTTCAGCCTCCGGCCAGCCAATACTTCTCCGCCATAGAGCCCGGGATGAGCGACGCATCCTCCATGATGAGTTCACTAGGCAGCAGCAGCAGCATCAGCATCAGCAGCAGCAGACACTCAGGCCAGCATCAGTTTCAGGACACCTTCCCAGGTAGACATCACACCTATAGGAGAGTAGACGAGATACGCTGTGTTTTCTCTCTCTCCCTGTCTGACTGGACTCTCCTTTGGCTTTAACCTCGTGTCCTCCTTGTGGTTTTGTCCTTTCAGGGCCTTACGCCGTCCTCACAAAAGACACAATGCCTCAGACCTACAAGAGGAAAAGGTCGTGGTCCAGGGCTGTGTTTTCAAACCTGCAGAGGAAAGGTCTGGAGAAGAGATTTGAAATCCAGAAGTATGTCACCAAGCCAGACAGAAAGCAGCTGGCTGCCATGCTGGGGCTCACAGATGCTCAGGTAAGGCAGCAGAAGGGAATTAAACCCCAACCTAAAGGTTTATTCAACAAAACTACGTTTATTAAGAAATCCTACTGAGATTTTCTATTATCACTCATTTTCACAATTAAAGCTGTAATGGTTAAGTCAAATCGCTTTATTTTTTATATAGTGTTACTTTTAATAGGAATGGATGCAAAAGAAGCTATTACTATGGCAATACCTCCACAAAATGACATGAAACCAGGATGACTCTTGAGTTTTTTTCCCCCCGCATTCTGTGGTTCTGAAGTTCTTCACCACAAAATATAAAATCAACTAAATAATCAGGAAGGAAATTAAGTACTCTCTGAAAAACAATGGGTCGAACTAACCCAAAGTTTCACCCAGTGGCTTTAATACAACAGTTGGTTTATGAAAATAACCCAGTATTTCTTAGTGTTAAAAAAGAAAATGCAGAAAAGGATTTTATATATTATTTAAAAGAACAAAAAAAATTTGTTGCATTTTTGCAAAAATTTTAGTTCTGTTTTGATGCATTGATTTTCTCATTATTATTATTATTATTATTATTATTATTATTATTATTATTGTTGTTGTTGTTGTTGTTGTTAATAATAATAATAATAATAATAATAATAAAGTTGACTTAGCCAAACTCAGAGCTCTTATTTAAAGTTAAGAAATTATTTAAAACATGAAGGCAAATGTTTGATTATTTTCTAAATCTTTTAAGATTTGTCTTAATTCTTTTGTGGCCACTGTCATGTATTTTTATATTTATTGCAGCGTTTTTGTTATTTATGGTTGAATAAATTGCTCCTATTAGATGAAATTTTGATGAACATTTTCAACAATGCAAAGTGAATTCAGTGCAGCAAAATATTTTAGAAGAAACAAAAGAAACGAAGAAAAACGTTAGAACATTTTTGAATGAATTGTGGTGGAAAACCGCAGATATTTTTTTCTAAATGTGTTCTGGATATATTTAATCTAAGCTGAACGCATGTTTTCAGGTGAAAGTGTGGTTCCAGAACAGGCGCATGAAGTGGAGACACTCCAAAGAGGCCCAGGCTCAGAAGGACAAGGAGAAGGACGAGAAGCCGGATCAGAGTGTCTCTGAGGCGGGCAGCATGGAGGCCAAAGAGTCGCTGGAGTCCGAGTGTGAGAGCGAGGCTCGGAGCGACAGCGAATCCGACGAGGCAGAGGAAGAAAACGAACATTTGGACATTTGTGAACATAACAAGACGAGCGTGATCATGAGCGGGAGCGCGCAGGCGAGCGGCGTGGACGCGGGGCCCACGGTCACGGACACCGTGGGCGCGCCGGTCCTGATATGAACCCTGTGGGTTGATCTGAACACATCTCTGAGTTTTTCACAGAATAAAGAGGAGACTGTAGCAACCAGACAGGTCCGTTTGTTTCCTGAAAGCAGGAAAAACAAATATCAGTTTAGGATGGCACACCCGCGCAGAATGAAGGAATGGAAACACGGTCAATTTTCCACATGTTGCTGTTTTTTAAGGCTCTAATAACAAAACCAAAGATAATTTAAGCTCACAAGGACTCGTGGCCTGCAGTGTTTCTGTTTTATTATCATATTATTTTAGTGAGTTGAGGATGTTTTCCTGTTCTGAATCACATGAAAAGGTTGTGAATTTTATTGTCTGGTTCTGAACCACCGTTAGGAGCTGTAAATGAAATCTCAGAACATCACAGCAGTGTTCGTGTATTTAGTTTTTTATTTGAATAAATAGTTGTACTATTTTGTTAATATTTGCACTGAAAATACTGTAAATAAAATGTACTTGTAACTTGGGCTTTTCATGTTATTATTATTATTATTATTATTTGCTTTTAATCTGATAAAATAAGGGAATAAAATAAACAGATTTCAGGTAAATTTAAACAAAATTAAACACCAATACGTCAAACAAAAGGCTACAAACTAAAAACAGTAAACATCATAAATAATTTTTGTTAAATGTCTAACAATATTACCAACTTTTTTTGATGATACTATAAACATAAAGCTAAAATATGGATTGTTTTCGTGATTTTTACTGCAGAAGTTCTTATTGCAGATGAGCGAACCGAGCATTGGGTTCTGGTTGGCCTCTGATTTATTCTCTGTATATGTTTGCTGACTCCAGATATTAGCCAGGACCCGGATGAGTAAAGTAATCAACAGTGTGTCCCTGTATGGTTTTATTTGCACCAACTTCTAAAAAAGCTTCTTGGGAGGTTATTAGTCCAAATTAAGCGAAACTCGAATAATTAAAGGAAAAAGATCAAACATCTCAGGTGTATAGGTGATTTTCAGCTGCAACATGTGCAGCCTAATTTAAGGATATCATGACACACGTGTCTGTTAATCTGTCTCTGCTTGTGGGAGTCAGTGCATTTCACGTGATTCACAAATACTTTTATTTTCTGCCCAGTGTTGCTGTAAAATATCTGTATTTATGCAACATTTCCAGAAAATTCGTTCCAAATAAATAAATAAATGTCCGGAGCCATCTGTGGGTCAGTAAAGGCATCACGTTGAGCTTAAGAGGATTTTCTAAAATATTTATTGTATATATTAGTGTCAGCTGGCCTCAGCCATTGAGAGGTTTGTTGATGGAAAATGAAGCCAGCGGGAGTTTCATGGGCAAACAAAAGTAGTGAGGGGCTTATGTCAAATAAATATCTGCCTTCTGCTCCACTAAAGCCATGAACACAAATTATCTCAAACAAATCACTCATAACACTTTAAAGGCAACAAATATGAAAAAATTATGAAATGTACTCTATTTAAACATATAATCTGGTAATATTTGACTTTTTAGTCAATAAAAATGACCTTATTTGAAATGTTAGAGGATTAAATATTATTGTTTTTGCACCCTTTAACCTGCACTTGGTCATTTGACACAAATGTTAAACTTTGAAATTACTTTTGGAGATAAAAATTTCAATTTGTTCACAGAAATGCTTTGATCTACATGCATGATTTTACACACACACACACACACACACACACACACACACACACACACACACACACACACACACACACACACACACACACACACACACACACACACAAAGAACTACTAGAAAATTAAATAAATCCACTTTTTCGGATTACATCATATCTGACTTTTATTATGTTAACAGCAGCATCATAACGAGTGACCTAAGAACTCAGACCACCACTGGCTTTGGGGTCCTCGGTCCGCTTCTCCGGAAACACAAGCGATCCCAGGAGAGCAGCTTTTTTTTTCCCTTCTTTAGCTCACAACATCTTGGATTTCACTTTCCGAAATCCGGATACCTGAAAAGCAGATATTTTAACCCCAAACGGAGGGCCCTCTTCTCAATCATTGATGCTGAGTTTTGACGGCTGCTTTTCCAGACAAAACAGTCAATGTCCTGCTCTTCATCAGCCTCATATTAACTGCTAAACACCATTAGACGTCTGAGAGGGTTGAGATTTGAATTATACTCTAAAAAACTATAAATTACTTTAGTGTTTGCAAGAGTGCAATAACAAAAACAATCCAAACGCTTCACATAATGCCGAGAGGTCTTGATTTGTGAACCGTCCTGGAAGATTTAACGAGCAGGATAAGAGAAAGTCCATCTGGCTTGCACTTAATGTCAGCCATTAAAAGCTGTCCTCTGCGTGTCTCTTGGCAACCGAGGACACGGCAGCCCATAAAACACACCAACCTCGCAGGTTTCACCGTTATTTAACACTTTGAAGTAAATGAAAATAACCGCACTGAACAAATTGCTTTTGTGGGGGAAAAAGAGGAGTTAGGAGTGGGATTAACGTGACTAAACGCCATGATGTCTCAAGGGTTTTGAGGTCTTATCTGTGAAGATGTTGGATAGGCTGCTGGAGATTCCTCCTGCGCCGTCATCATGCATCAGAGGAGTCTTTTTAAGGCCTTATGCAGAATAATGAAGCTGATGAAAGATGTGTTTAAGAAAACAACAAAAGTTTGTTTCTACTCTAGGGGTTAATTTTGCTTGGATCCGTAATTGTCGCAAGGATTTGCAGGAAAATTATTGTGTCAAGATAGAAGAAGTTCGCATCAGTTGTGTCAGAATGAGTTTATTAAGATGACTTGTTGTGCATAATTTAATTGGATTATCTGCTTTGCATCTTTTTACATTAAAAAAGAAAAATTTGCTGATAATTTTATCATTTGTGGTCACTAAATCTCTCATTTATGCCTCCAAACGAACTTGAACGTGTGAAAATAATTGACATTTTATTTGCTGACAATGATCTGAAGATAAACAGGATAACTGTAAGTATCCATATAAGAAATAAAACACTTATTGGTAGCCAAACATTTTTAGGTTTAGCATTAATCAACACAGTCCTCTGATTGGCTGAAATTGATGCTTAATCTCACCATTTGACGGTTAAGCTTTTCAGATGGTTTAATCCAGTAAAAACAACAAAATGTGACATTTAATCTAACTTTACATCACAATCAGCTGACAAGCATATTTTACCAATCAGCTAAGCATCATAACATCCGTGTTTTTTTTTCTTTTTTACCAAAGTTTGACCTCTGATATTCAACTATAATTGCGTCTTTCATAACCAACATATGGAAAATTTCAAATTTGCTACACCAAGCAAAAAAAAAAATAAGTCAAACTAAAGGTCTTGTTCTGTTTGTTGCAGATTATTGAGCAAGGAATCCTGACCTCAGTGCAATAACTGATGATATTAAAGCTTTTAGGTTGTAAAACTGTCGTGTTAGCATCGGAGGTCCAACAGGAAGCACAAACATGTGACATTCTTGAACTCACCGCATCAATGTTCTGTGGTGTTTGTTTGGCATTTTGTGATTTTTTTTCTTTAATTAGGTTTATTTTTTAATAAATGAGTCATTTGCTTGTTTAATGTTGATATTTTCTCCATTTAACACTTCAGACGAGACATAAACGCAGATGAGCGAGTCAGAAAAGTTCCACTATAGGTGGAGGCTGAAGGGTGCGTTCAAAGCTGCGACAAATATTAAAACATACTTCTTAGTATTTTCAGAAATTCTCTTTCTAAAATGTAATTTTACATTTTCCGCACAAATCTTGTGCTTTTCTTGAACACTTGATTGTGTTTTTGCATCTGCAGAAACATGCTAACCGGCGCTGACCATGTTTCCCGCTCACACAGGAGCCGCTGCCACATTTCCTAAAACGCCACATTATTGAGTGCTTTTTTAACATGGTTGCAGTTTCCAAGCATCTTGGCTCTGCTTCCAAGACCCGGCTCTTGCCAGCAGTTGGGAGTGGAAGAAGAAGGAGAGGGGGGGGGGGGGGGGCATCTCAAGTTAAATTTAAAGATGTGTTTCTCTTGGACGTCGAGCTGCGCTGCCATAAACCAAGGGAGACATTTTCATGCTCCACATTTTTCATGGTTTCTCTCTGTTTCCTCCCTTCCTTTCTCGCTCCACCTTGGCTCCAGAGTTACCTAGTGCCAGCGAGGCACCGTGGGGTGGCCGGTTCCTCCCTCCCAGCCTCCAGAGCCTCCTCCTCCCTCCCTTTGAGCCTCCTCTGAAATGTTCTCCTGGTTGCCTCCTGGATGGCTCCCTCTCAGAGGAGAACACCTGTGGGAATCCACCACCTGGACGGCACATCTTAAGCTCTCTTTCACCACCGTTCTCAAATAATACACTGAGAGCTGACGGCCTGTAGTTCTCTGACCTACCGCCATGTTTTTTATTGTAGCCAAGAAGGAGCCGTTTTATTGCAGACTGCAGACCGCCGTCTTGAGCCAGCCTTGTGTGGTGCACGCTGTAATTTGTGAAGGGGATGCAGAGGTTTGGTATTAATTAGGGATGTGAAATGGCAGCGGTCCGACCGCCTGCCCATTTCCATAGAGGCTAAATTCACTGAGTGATGTACACTTTGGGAGGGGGATTATGGCTGAGCTCTGGCTGCCCGCTGAGATGCAAACACAAAAGGGAGGATGTTAAAAGCACTTTTCATTTCACATGACCTGTCATCAGCAGCAAATTTTCACTCTGCCGTTTGGAAGCAGGGGTGAACTGCCTGCGGCTTTAAAACCAACCGTTTGCTCGGTCCAAGCATCAATCAGAGTGGATGTGTGCAAATGAAAGAGTTTTAGACCTCACCGCTGGCTTTCAGGAGCATGAAGTTATTCTTTCACTCGCTGATGAGGATATCATGTTATAAGAGTTTAGGTACAAATTACAATGATCCTTTAAACCAACCCAAAAAGCAAAATTTATAGTTTTTTTTTAAGCTTTGATGAATCCTGAATGAGCCATTCATCAAAGAATCTGAAGGCCCCATTCTACGGTAAACAATCATTAAATCATGAATGGTCCTCGTGTTCTTAGTTCTTTTAAGATTCAGATGTATTGGAACGTTCAAAGTTTGCTTTTAACATTATATAGAATAACCTTTTACAATCTGAGACTTGTGTTAAACTCACATTAAACCAAAACTTTGTGATTTTCTAAATCAAGAATCGTAGATAATGTCTCACAGATCAGAAGGTCAAAGAACGAAGAAGAGGAAGAAGAAGAAGACGATCTTTTTGAAAGCGCCTCTCAAGATAAAAATCACGAGGCGGTTCACAAAAACAAAAACAAAAAATGTTTAAGTATAAAAAGATTTCTAAAATGATTAAAAATATGATTCTAATGAAAAAGAACCCAAAAATGTAAGGAAAGAAGAAGAAAGTATCATTTCTATAGCGCCTCTCAAGATAAAAATCACGACGCGTTTCACAAAAACAAAAAAATGTAAAAATATAAAAATAATTTAGAAAAGGTTAAAATATAT